AGAAATTAGTTAGAAATGTAGTAAAAATTTAAAGGTACACTTAATACGGAGGATTTCTCGTTAGTTTTTTTTGTTGTTTTTTTTTAAGAAAATGTGCTCAAGATGTTATTGCCAGACTACAGTAAGCCTACACAAAAGATTTACATAGAAAAAAAGGCCTGACTTACTTGCACAGATGACATCTTTCATATGTCTCGTAGGACTTTCTTGGGTGACGCTATTTATATCCGCTCTGATATGCTCATCACAGGAAAATACGGGTAAACCCCAAACCTTTAACCAAGCCGAAGAGCAGCACTAAAGGTAAAGGAAAAAACAAATAAATAAAACAATGTTCCTTCCCAAGACACTTGCCATTTTGTGTTTTTAAAGTCAATAGTGTACTTTAAAAACGTATATCTTCTCCATAGTTCCATCAGAGACCCCAGTTTTTAATTAGACATCACATAAATACGAATCACGTGAACACTAATCACATGAACAGACAAAATCATGAACGACAAAAAGACAACACTTGGTTCACAAAATCCAAAGATAACAATTAACAAATCAATCATTTTAATAAAGAAACAAACATCCTGGCCTTACGATACAACAATGCAAATAAGTCCGCAATGAAAATGTGTTGCATTTTCAGCATTGCCTCAAGCGGCGCTGGTCTGTCTGACTACTTATGGTCAGTTTTGTCTGTCAGGTCAACAACTGTCTCATAGCAGATATTCAGTTTATTAATATAGAGTTTATTTGAGAGCTTTTTTGCATTAAAAATGATCCAAAACACATATTTAAGAAAACACATAACCAGCCAGTGTTTAAAACTATCTGCTTGCCTTAGCTCGATTCAAAAGCGGTAAGCTTCTAATAATGTTTCTAACTCCAATGGTACAGGTGGATTTCGGCGGGAGATTTGAGCATGTCTTTGCGTCCTTACGTCATTAGTCTCATTCGTCTATAAGCTATATTGGGTGGAGATTTGTAGCCTTTTCTCACAGCACTTGATATAATTAAACATTAATTTGATGTCGGATCCAGAAAGGTTAAAAAACGAAAATCACCAGTGAAAACATTTTAACCAACAGTTGGGTTTGTCTGTATTTTGACCAAACAACCCAGCTTTGTGTGTGTGTGTGTGTGTGTAACTGATGGTAACAAAAATATCAGACATGTTATTTATGGCTTAGCATCAATGTGTTCATCATTCTTAAAGATGCACCTACACTGTTAAATAGATTGTTGTAGATGTTTTGGGAATACAAAGCATAATCTAATTGAGTATTATTAAACTGTCATTTTCATTTGTAAGGGGATACTGCAGTGCTCTGTTTAAGTATAGCACAATTCTCACATATACAGGTATGAGTGTTATACTGTATACATAATAAACAGTATGTTTTCTATCAGTGAGTATTATATGTATAGTTGTCGTACACTCTTATTAAAAGAAAAAGAAAGTGATAAATAGCATGGATCATGGGTTGATGGCAAAGACCCACACACTGTCTTTGCACAGGGCCCAATATTTAGTGCTACACCCCTGCCCTGGAGTACTGACGTTTGTTGACCACTGCAAGAGTGTACGTTAACTATTGCGTACTTGCATAAACAATGTAAAAGTTTCTAGCCTAAAACAAGCACACGGGTTGTGTCCGATAATTTTAAAATGCATGATGGCTGCGCTCTTATTCAGCTTGGCAAAACTACATAAAACAGGAGCAGGGTCAGGCGGGGACGCAAGTTTTGGAACAACACCTGATTGCAGGAGCAGGAAACACACTTTAGAGCGGCTCCTGGAGGAGCACAAGGTGACTGTTCCCCGTTTAGCCCCAATTGTTAATTACCGCAGCACTGCTGAGACTCCCACACAATAGCCCAGACCTAGCCCACATGGACCACTGGCACCCAGATCTTCATTTATATAAATCAAAGCTCTGCTGTGCTGCAGATATGACCTCCACAAGGGCTCTAAGCTGCACTACACCGCCACAAAGACCTGAAAATATCCCGAGACAGGACAAATCTGCGGTCAGGAAACGACACGAGTCAGATATGGAGGCCCAGGCGTGAATATCTCCCTCTGGTGTATGTGCTGCCCATTATCACACTGCTTTATTAATTAGATAATAACTGAGGAGACCAATTCAGGCCTCAGTGGGTGAGATCTTTTGAGTAATTATTCCACGTTTCGTGAGAGCGAGGGAACGAAGAACTTCTGCTTTGTTGTCGGGGGACTGTGAATCCTCCAGAGGTACAAATCACACAGGGGAAGACGTCGGCGCACAATCATGTGATATTAATGAGAAGAGGACAGGGGAATTAATAGGTTGTGCCATAGAGAGGGTAAGACTTGGAAGAATTAGCCACCGAATATACCCACCGCCGCGCTTCCCGACGTCATTGGTGAATACTCTCCACCTGCTGCTAAGAGTGATGGGCCCGCCGTACCATTGGTCGTACCTGCCTCGCATTACTCACATCTTGGGTCAGTAATTTAACACGCGCAGATAATAACAAGGGACCACCGACTGTTGCCGCACACGGTGGCCACGTTATTACTGCCTGAACACGTACTCTCCCGGGATTTCTGTCGTCAGCAAGGTGAATTAATTCTGCTTCTCCCTTACCTATCAACACATTCACACATACAAACACAAAACATGAAGACTCCCACAGAGATTAGCAGAACCAGAGCCAAAGTCTCCAGAAGCTGTCGTGTACTTCAAAACAACGTCAAGGATACATCATCCTGCACTACTAATGAATGGAATGATGTCAGAATGATACTCCACTGGCTTGGAATTCTGAAGGAAGCAAAAAAGGAAACAATAAAATGAACAAACACATAAAAAGAAAGTATGCGGAAACAACACATTGAGAAGGACAAAAGACATAGAAGTCCTTTCAGAAGTCTTATGGCTAATGCTGATAACATGCTTAATTCAATCCCCAATCCCCAAACAGCTATTTTTTTTGAATAACCAGTTTGAGGAGGAGAATTAGGGTGTGTAATAACTGTGGAGATTTCTCTGCCAAACAAATGTCCTTTATGTTCAGTGGGTTTTAAACGGATCTGCTTAAGTGTTGTTACTGAGCTAGTTATTCTGGTAATCAAACAGCCCATTATTTGGTGACAATATCTTAACAAAAACAGGATTATTAAAGTAAAAAAGCAGATAATACTTCAAATACACAAACACACACACACAACTCCATTCAAATAACTTTTTTCTATTTTAAACAGTCATTTATTTCAATAATGACAAAGCTGAATTTTTAGCAGCCATTACTCAGTCTTGTTGAGTGTCACATGATCCTTCTTCAGAAATCATGGTCAAGTCGGAAAGATCTTATTCGCCAGTTGAGCGTGCAATGAACGTCACCACAATGTCGTAAATATGAGTGGGAAAGAGTTGTTTGCCAATATACGAGGGTGAAGATCTAAACATATTTAGATATATCGAAATCGTCTTCCATTGCGGTTTCCTGTATATCTAAATATGTTTAGATCTTCACAGTGAAAGGTAAAACTTTCAAAATCTCTGTGTAAACAATGAGTGACGTATATAAATAGTGTCTGGTGACGTACACGCGGAAGAGATCACTTCCGGCACATGCGCAAACCGAAGCGCCCCTGCCTTCAGATCACTTGGACATGGCGGTGGTTACAAGAGGTAAAAACAATATAAATACTGTTCGTTTTCTCACACAAACCGCTTGTTTCGTGTCTTAGGCCATCAATGTGTACTTACATTTACGAGTCATTAAATCATGTTTAATTTGGACTTTTCTGTTCATGCTATTAGACTTGCCCATAGACTTCCATTATATGACTGACAGACAACAACGGTTTGGGCTAAAAATATTAAAATTGAAAATACTGTGGAAACAAAGACACCTACATCTTGGATGTCCTTGAGGTAAGCTAAAACATATCAAAAATGTATTTAAAAGTGAACTATCCCTTTAATCCTTGTGGAATAAAACCATTAATTTCTTAAAAAAAATATAAAATTTATAAAGGCCCAGAATGGATCACTTCTGCATTCATTTAATGTGGAAAATCTTACAGTTAAAATCTATTATGATTTTTCATTAGAAAACAAAGGTAATTTTAGGCAGAATGACATCTCGTCACCACAATCTTTCAAACTTATTACTGTAACAACAACAATAGGGTAACATGGGGAAAGATGCCCTCCGGGATGCCGACTCCACCTTAATTTTCAGTACCGGTAATTTAGTTGAATTGCTGTGATATTTTTCATTTTGTCATTTCATCTAAATATCAACATCTGTGAGATTTAGTCAGCCAAAACAATTTTGAGGTTAATTGATCTAATTTAGTGTCTCTGCAAAATAGTGATCTATGACATTGTATTAAGTTGAATAAGTTTTTTTTTGGGTGGAGTTGAACACTTTAATGTTTTAAGATTTGTGGAGTAAAATTTTTTGGTTTGTTTTTTTTTTTTCAAGTAAAAAGATCAATTTAGACCCTTGGGGTCAGATGACCACATATCAGACCCCATGAGGAATGCTGTGTAGTCAACCATTTGTTGTAGTCCTTAAAAAGCAATTTATTTCAAATAAAATATTTCCCTTTGCCATGAAATTTGAGTTTTGTAACTTTGCAGATGTTGTTTATGCTCGAACAGCAAAATTACACACTATACGTACATTTAAAAAAGTGACATCATTATCAACCACCCCTTTAAGGGGGGCATTTTCCCATTTTCCCCTATGTTACCCCTATAAAAAGTTTAATTTGAAGAAAAATGACTGCACGAGCCAAAAGTTCACAAGGAAGAAACTTACTTGAAAGACTTTTGTCCCATATGAAGCGCAAGTGGAGCTGTCAGGGCACTGCGTGTGCAGCACACCTTCAAAAGCTATGGAATGTTGGTCCCGCCCATTAGATCATTGATTGGCTCAAAGTTTCAACGCTCACGCACCCGTGCCCTCCACCCTGCCCCGAAACGCACTCCAGTCACTCCTAATCACTGTCAACTATCAACGGTCGTGATTGAGAGCGTCCTGCGACTACAAACAATTGTCTCCTCTTTCATGAGAAGTTTGGAGTTGCTGTCAAACTTGGACCTTATAAACCAACACTGGATTTAGCCTACATTTGAAGAAGTTGAAAGAAGTTATTTTTATGTCCGCGTAAAGTGGAATGACTAACCTTACTTATCAAATCTTCACAAGGAAATACTAAACGTCACAAAGAATCGCAAGGATGCTTCTTTATGAACTTGTCGCACTCGTAAAAATATGTTTTGTGACTTTATAAACTAAAACGTGCAACTTCTTGTTGCATTTAGTAAGCAGAATATGTCTCTCTTGTAAAAGCGTTCAGAGTTCCTAACGACTTGGGAATTCTGTTTCTCTTCTTGCCCAGAAAAGTTCTTCTGCTGGGTTTTACGCAAAACTGAATCTCACCTCAGTTTAAACTCGTTTCATAAGCGGCCCACAAGGGCTTGGACGATTTCAGTCATGAACGTGCCAAGGTGCTCTGGAGTTTGCGCTATGATGAGACTTCTGGCGCTGGTTATACATGTTTTGTCAACGACAGCAAAGAGACACGTTGTATACTGGAACAGTACAAACACACGGTAAGTTCACAATTACCTTTAATTCACACTCCTCCTGTTGACGGTTTCCAATGAACCTCATTACGCAGGATTGCGGTTGCCTTCCCTGTGCGTAATTCAGCGCGCTATGCTCCTCGGGAGCTCAGGCTCAGCCCAGGGAATGTGAGGTGACTAAGCCCAAAAACGCTCCCAGATTTGTGTTGCTTCATGTCTGCAGCCTAAAACACACCTGCAGTTATTAAAGGGTTTAAATGTTGTAACGTGTCCTCCCATGCCTCACCGTTTCCAGCAGGCAAACTTTGATGTATTAAGCCTTAAAGGTACACTCAGTTTTTTTTTTGTTTTTTTTTAAGTTTTATGCATAAACAAAGAAATTAACTATAAATTAACGCAAATTATGTACAACCACATAAGATATGTGGATATAAGAAGATAAGAAGATATAAGAAAACATGGGTCGGTTTGCTACTAAATGGGCGCTGCCATTTTTAAATCACATGACTATGGAAGTTTTGATTATAACTTATTATCATTATTAATATTATTATTATGAGGCTACATGTTTAATGTGAGTGCTTTTCATTCATTTTACAAAGCCTCAGTTAATAAATGTTGCAGTATTAAAGGCACAGTAAGCTATTTCTGAGAATCACTGTTGAACACAAGATCCGCAAAAAATGACTAAACGTTCTGTATTCTGCCAGGCCGTAGATGACGATGAAAAACACTATAGACTGAAAACATAATACGCATGTGCACAACGTTATCGTCTTCCGAAATTTGCCTTTTTTTTGTTTACATGGAGACCGTTTTCAAAAACTTGCACTTTGAAACCTGTTTTTAAAGGTTGGCGTTTTGTCATGTAAATGAACGGCCATTACACATATGTTTTACATTTTTTTGTTGAAAATGGTATTGTGCAGTCCCTCCAGAAAAACGCGATTATGCGATCGCTGAATTCAATGCAAAATCAGCCAAAGTCCGCATATTTATGCGAGGGCAGCATTTTTTGAAATACGCCGCACTTTCGCCGCATAAATTACAGATTTCTGTGCAAAATATGCAGGATTTGCATAATTTCATAATCCTCGCATTATCATTGCAAAAAAAGTCACATGTATCTTAGCAGAAAGTTGAAAAACGTTGCGTTTTTTTCACACAAGAGCAGTCGTTTCCCCCTGTTTCCATGGGAACGTTATGAAGTGACGCAATTACGCGACGCCAGACAGACTCGCGGAGGCGATTGACATCTCACAAATCGAACTCGTATAACTGTCTGTCACACGTTCTGCCGTCACATCGTTACTTAATAAACAACATAAGATAAAAGAAGTAGCATCAAACAGACATGGGGTGTTCGAGGCGCACAAATAACACTGCAGAGAGCTCTTAAAGGGGCCACACCTTATTTACACTCGTTACAGTCTGAAATAAAACAAGATGAGAAATGAAATATTCCCAGCACTTTCTATGGTGTAGTATGCTTGCTTATCAAAGGAAGTAATAAGAAATGACTCTTACATTAGCCTAGTGAGAACAGGATGTTTGGGGAATCACTTTTTTTCTCTTTTTCATCAAACCACAATTTTTGCAAGTTCCCTCAATTTTGCAAATTCCTGCAATTTCATCGCATAAAATTGCATAAATATCCCGCATATTCCATTGCATTTTTAAAGAAAACGGAATGAAGCCATGGAAGAGGGTTGTCAACTTGTCATATTTATTAAAGGTCCCATTCTTCGTGATCCCATTTCAAACTTTAGTTAGTGTGTAATGTTGTTGTTAAGAGTAGAAATAATATCTGTAAAATTATAAAGCTCAAAGTTTAATGCCAAGTGAGATATTTTATTCAACAGAAGTAGCCTACATCGAATGGCCCGTTTGGACTACATCCCTCTACTTCCTTCTTTAATGACGTCAGTAGAACAGTTTTTTGACTAACGTCCGCCCACAGGGATGCTCCCCCAACTCCCACAACTTGCGCACTTCTTATAACTTACTGTGTTTACTCGGCTCTTACAGTGATTTTCTGAAGTAAAACTGACGCTTCATCTTTTGTGTGATATACAATAAACTTTATTAAACTCATCATCATTTGGACCTGGTCATCATTTGGATTTTTCTGAAGTAAAAAAAATGTCGCCTGTCAATGATGCAATATCCGCGCGACCTTCGGTTTCCGTTCACACTGCCATAGCCATGACATAACCATGGCGGCAGATGTGGACAATTGCGTAGGCATAACGTTTAGCGCCACACAGTTGTTGTTTCTTTCAAACATAGACCATGTGGCAAGCAGACTTTGGGACAAACAAGGAGAACTAAATTGAGGATCAATATCAGCATGGCGTTGGCAGCTTTATTAGACAGGTGAGCAAATTTACAAAAAAACAAATCAATTTTATAGAACATTAGCTCAACATGATGAAATTTTAGAATATGGTCAGTACGTTATTCTAATGTTGATCTAGCTTACTGCTATTTTCGTATATCAAACGAACTACCACGTAGTATAACATTATAGCTTTCAACACACATAATGCCATTTAGAGTGATAGTGTAATGTTAGACCTACCTCACAAGTTTAATTCATCTAATAAACTGACCTATGTGAGTAATCCAGCACTTGCGGGTAGTTCGGTTGAATTAAATGTCCTCATTGCTTTATATCCGCGGGACTCGTATGTGATATCTGTCTCTTTAGCAATCGTGACCTGCTTCATACCACTGTAATGTTTAAAAACATGAATGTTTGCACTCATCCATAAACATTATTAGATCCATCAGCTTGACAGCAAGTCCCATCATTCAGTAGCCTGGCATGCGAGACCTACATCAAGATGTTAGGTCTGGGAACTCATCATTGACAGGGCTCAATCCGAGGGGCGGGATAAACTGTTGTCTTTCAAATTCTCTCTGTGCGCAATTGGATAGCGCTACAACCAATCAGGACTGAGTCCTATGCGTTTTCCCACCGAGGGAGCAAGTTGATATATTAAACTTTTACCGTATCCAGTCGGCAAAACTCCGAACACATCTTTTAAAAAAAGTGATCAAGTGCCGTTCTTTGTTCTGGTTTCAAAGAAAAGCTTAAGTTCAAATTATCCAGAGTAGCGGTCAAAGCCGAATCGAAAGACAGCTGTTCGCCAGCAGCAGTCACTCTTTGTTTTCAAGTAGCAGTGAACCGTCGCAACTCTGTCGTCATTATGTTAAGCCCGCCTGCCGACTCTATACACAATGTGATTGGCCAGATCAGAGTTCGGTTTTTCCAGTTAAAACATCTATGTAGAGTTGCTAGACCACACTGGCTGCAAAATATTTTTTTCTGCCGCTAGGGTGCGTCTAGATTTCTAGGATAGTCATTCAGCTCATCACTGCGTCATCAACCTACACCTTTGTTATTGTTGGAAACATCGCCCTTTTGTGGCGAAACAAAATGACATTGTGCCTTTAAAACTGAATAGATATAATAATAATAATAATAAAATTAAAACTTTAAAAAATACTAAAATGTACTAAAATTGAAAATAAAAGACTAATTCAAAAACCGTAATAAATAATAGGGTAGTAAATAAATAATAGGAAATGAACTGGTGATTTCGGACTCTGAAAATTAGATTGGGGAAAACAAACAAAAGAGGGTCAAAACAAAAGATAAACAAGCAGCTTTGGTGTGAAGCTGCAGCAGTTAGTAATTATCTTGTCTATCTGTGTTCCAGTTTCATTAATTGGGATCAAGGGTCAGAGCTTTTGTATCTCGGCTATATGCTGTAAAATCCAATGCCCTCCGGCTCCTTACAGTCTGGTGAACAATTTCTCCAGGTTTGATCAATTAGTGCTGAACGTAGCACTAATTAAATAAATCAATGTTAATGATGTGTGCTAATCAGCTCTCTTCCTGTTGTGCCACATATCTGTCCTCTGTCTTGCTCTATAATAGTTTAATTGGTGTCATTTGTTCGATTGATGGCACGTTCACCTGCCACTCCAGGTGTTATCCCGGTCTGGATTGGCTGTGCGAGTTTAGGACAGCCAGGAGGGACAGCTGTGCTCGGCCCCTCTCGGAAAACCCCTTGGACATGACAAGCTCTCCATATGGACATGTTTTTCAGCGACAGGCCTCATGTTGTGACACGCAAATAGTTAAACTTGAATCTGGTTTCTTTGTCATAGCTCATTAATTTCTCATCAGAGAAAGAGTTAAAAAAAATTGCTGTCTGGCATGCAGTTTTATTATCCATTTGATTGAGCAATTAATTTTCTTTTAGTTTGTGGTCTCACTGACACTTGCAGTCAAGGTTGGTGTGTAGTCGTGTTTAGTCTTGTGGTTTATTAACAGATTTAGGTGCAGACTAAACTTCAACTCCTTTGCTTCAAGGTTCTCCAGTGCTTCAAACAAAGAACACATTGCACAGACATTGATTTCCTGATTACACCAAATAGTGCAATATAACCAGATTAATGAGGCTTGGTTCTGGATACATGAGCGCTGTAAGGTAGTCATGTAATGTAGTGTTGATCACATCAGTACTAGAAAGAGTGGGAGAAATTAAAGACTTATGGGTTTGTCTTGCTGTTGGTTTGGTGTGTGTATGTGATAAAGATTTTTTTTTCATCCTTCTTAATCTCCACTCCTGCCTTTCAGTTGTAACTGAGCTGTGAACTGCTAGAAACTTGCTTTTCGTTTATCAGTTGACGTTTTAGATGGCCTGCCAGCCAGGTGGATAAAGCTTATAACGTGTGCTTTGCTCTTATCTGTCACGCTCTTTCTGCTCGCCCTTTTATTTTCTCATGTTTTCTTACGATCATAGCCAAAAAGTTTGAAACCTGATGCAACGACTTAAGTTATACACACACTTTTTTTTTGTACACCCACTCTCTGAAAACAAAAAAACAAAAAGAGATATTCCAATGCTATCTCACGACCAATTCGTTCGAGTAAGTATAAGGTGGCTAATTCTTGCAAACTCGTACAACCACACTCGTACGATTTGTCTAAACCCTCGTGATGGGTAGGTTTA